GTGAAATCCATCATATATAACCCTGATATGTACACAAGTCCTTTTTTTTTCTTGTTCTATTACTGTGGATAATTGTTTATATGTGACTAAATATTTTCATTTGTTAAATAATCAACATCTTATATTTATGAGTATAAATTTAGATTGTATTTTTTATACTTTTTTTTTTCTTCATATATAATAAATAAATAATTTTAAAATTTTTCTTTTAACTATTTTATTTGTAGTAAATCCTTACTTTTTTTCTTTAGAAACTCAAATTTAAAATGAAAAAGCTGTTAACAATTTTAAAATTTAGAATGAAAAAATTACCAATAATTTTATAAACATTTTTTCCCTCATATATGTAGATATATGTAGGAGGAGCCAGGCATACTAGCTTATTCGGGTTATACCCTCAATTGATATCAAATTTCAAAATTAAGGACTATTTTGATACACTTTAAAAAACAAGGACCCAATTGAGACATTCGTACATAAATAGAGATGTAGTAAAGGATTAAACCTATTTTAGTTTAGTGAAATCCATCATATATAACCCTGATATGTACACAAGTCCTTTTTTTTTCTTGTTCTATTACTGTGGATAATTGTTTATATGTGACTAAATATTTTCATTTGTTAAATAATCAACATCTTATATTTATGAGTATAAATTTAGATTGTATTTTTTATACTTTTTTTTTTCTTCATATATAATAAATAAATAATTTTAAAATTTTTCTTTTAACTATTTTATTTGTAGTAAATCCTTACTTTTTTTCTTTAGAAACTCAAATTTAAAATGAAAAAGCTGTTAACAATTTTAAAATTTAGAATGAAAAAATTACCAATAATTTTATAAACATTTTTTCCCTCATATATGTAGATATATGTAGGAGGAGCCAGGCATACTAGCTTATTCGGGTTATACCCTCAATTGATATCAAATTTCAAAATTAAGGACTATTTTGATACACTTTAAAAAACAAGGACCCAATTGAGACATTCGTACATAAATAGAGATGTAGTAAAGGATTAAACCTATTTTAGTTTAGTGAAATCCATCATATATAACCCTGATATGTACACAAGTCCTTTTTTTTTCTTGTTCTATTACTGTGGATAATTGTTTATATGTGACTAAATATTTTCATTTGTTAAATAATCAACATCTTATATTTATGAGTATAAATTTAGATTGTATTTTTTATACTTTTTTTTTTCTTCATATATAATAAATAAATAATTTTAAAATTTTTCTTTTAACTATTTTATTTGTAGTAAATCCTTACTTTTTTTCTTTAGAAACTCAAATTTAAAATGAAAAAGCTGTTAACAATTTTAAAATTTAGAATGAAAAAATTACCAATAATTTTATAAACATTTTTTCCCTCATATATGTAGATATATGTAGGAGGAGCCAGGCATACTAGCTTATTCGGGTTATACCCTCAATTGATATCAAATTTCAAAATTAAGGACTATTTTGATACACTTTAAAAAACAAGGACCCAATTGAGACATTCGTACATAAATAGAGATGTAGTAAAGGATTAAACCTATTTTAGTTTAGTGAAATCCATCATATATAACCCTGATATGTACACAAGTCCTTTTTTTTTCTTGTTCTATTACTGTGGATAATTGTTTATATGTGACTAAATATTTTCATTTGTTAAATAATCAACATCTTATATTTATGAGTATAAATTTAGATTGTATTTTTTATACTTTTTTTTTTCTTCATATATAATAAATAAATAATTTTAAAATTTTTCTTTTAACTATTTTATTTGTAGTAAATCCTTACTTTTTTTCTTTAGAAACTCAAATTTAAAATGAAAAAGCTGTTAACAATTTTAAAATTTAGAATGAAAAAATTACCAATAATTTTATAAACATTTTTTCCCTCATATATGTAGATATATGTAGGAGGAGCCAGGCATACTAGCTTATTCGGGTTATACCCTCAATTGATATCAAATTTCAAAATTAAGGACTATTTTGATACACTTTAAAAAACAAGGACCCAATTGAGACATTCGTACATAAATAGAGATGTAGTAAAGGATTAAACCTATTTTAGTTTAGTGAAATCCATCATATATAACCCTGATATGTACACAAGTCCTTTTTTTTTCTTGTTCTATTACTGTGGATAATTGTTTATATGTGACTAAATATTTTCATTTGTTAAATAATCAACATCTTATATTTATGAGTATAAATTTAGATTGTATTTTTTATACTTTTTTTTTTCTTCATATATAATAAATAAATAATTTTAAAATTTTTCTTTTAACTATTTTATTTGTAGTAAATCCTTACTTTTTTTCTTTAGAAACTCAAATTTAAAATGAAAAAGCTGTTAACAATTTTAAAATTTAGAATGAAAAAATTACCAATAATTTTATAAACATTTTTTCCCTCATATATGTAGATATATGTAGGAGGAGCCAGGCATACTAGCTTATTCGGGTTATACCCTCAATTGATATCAAATTTCAAAATTAAGGACTATTTTGATACACTTTAAAAAACAAGGACCCAATTGAGACATTCGTACATAAATAGAGATGTAGTAAAGGATTAAACCTATTTTAGTTTAGTGAAATCCATCATATATAACCCTGATATGTACACAAGTCCTTTTTTTTTCTTGTTCTATTACTGTGGATAATTGTTTATATGTGACTAAATATTTTCATTTGTTAAATAATCAACATCTTATATTTATGAGTATAAATTTAGATTGTATTTTTTATACTTTTTTTTTTCTTCATATATAATAAATAAATAATTTTAAAATTTTTCTTTTAACTATTTTATTTGTAGTAAATCCTTACTTTTTTTCTTTAGAAACTCAAATTTAAAATGAAAAAGCTGTTAACAATTTTAAAATTTAGAATGAAAAAATTACCAATAATTTTATAAACATTTTTTCCCTCATATATGTAGATATATGTAGGAGGAGCCAGTCATACTAGCTTATTCGGGTTATACCCTTAACTTATTTTTAATAAACTAAATGAAGGACACACTAATCTATGTATCACTTTTAATTTTTAGGAAAAATTATGGTTCCAGACTCTTCAATATATTGACATCTCAACATAATATTTTATAGAGTCACTCAATTATTTAGTATCTTAATACAACTTGATAACATTCTACAATATTATTCGAACATTAACACTTCGTCATAACTTATGAAAACATTCTATATCGATAATACAACCTCTTTTCTTGACATAAAGACATTCTTAAACCTATTCCACTGGCTAAGAATGTTCCAACAAAAATACATTCACAATCTCACAAATACGGTCACACTTTCAACCAACACTTAACTAAACTAAATAGGAATTAGATATAAAGCAAAAGTCTAAATCATGATTAAGTCATGATTGAACCCTCATTAATCACCTAAAATGTAATAGTTCATTAAGAGGGTAAACTTTTTTTTCTAATACAATATAGATTACCTTTCCAAGAAAGAAATACTTATACAATATTGACTTGAACGTTGAATTGCTTTTATAAGTATTCTCACTACTCAAGACAACCAAGACAAAAAATAAAAGACTAGAGATATACGTTTTCTCTGTACTGAAAACCAAAGACAAAGGTGAAGACAATAAAAAAAGCTTCAACTTATTGATTATAGAGAACTCAATCAACTTTATAAGAACACATGATTATAACGTACTTATTTCTTATTTTATTTTTTTTTAACCTAAACAAACTAAAGTCATTACTAATATTTTGTAGGTTTAATTGCTTCCTTTGTCCTCAGTTTGGTTGAATTGTGTCAAATTCATCCTCATTTTTAAAAAAGTTTCATTGTCGTCCTCACGTGGTATAAAAGTGTCAATTGAATCCAAACATAGAAAAAATTTGTGTCAAAGTAGTCATTTTTCCTATATCTCTGTGTCTTCCTTTCATATGTCACTTCTCTGGAGCTATGAAAAGCCTTAAATTGGATAAGGTAAAATGAATATCTGTACTTGATTGTATGAAAGGAAGACACAGATATATAGGAAAAATGACTACTTTGACACAAATTTTTTCTATGTTTGGATTCAATTGACACTTTTACACCACGTGAGGACGACAATGAAACTTGGGACAAAGGAAGCAATTAAACCTATTTTGTATATTTTCAGGGTAAGGATTATAAAAATAGAATTTAATTTATGATATAATTAAATGGAAATAAAAATATCAAATTACATTATAAAAAAATATTTGAAACAATAAATAAAGGGAAAAATAGAAACTATTTTTAGAGACTTTTGTAGTTTATTGAAATGTAGGGATTATCCTGGAACTATTTCCTTTTAATTCCTAAACGTGTCAATAATTTGAAAAGAATAAAGTTTCTCTTTCTCTTTATATTTTTGTGTAGGTTTCATGAAGAAGACTTAATTTGGTTGTTAATGATATAGTTGGGAAAAGATTTTGGAGTACTATCAAAGTTTAAAGTTTCTAAGCATGGTTATGTTATATCTCATTTATTACTTTGGGGATGGTATTCTACTTTTTCACAAAAGTTACAGCTAAACAAATTAAACTCTTTGGTAATACTTTTAGCAAGGAATCTAGGTTGAAGATTAATTTGTCTAAATCCAGAGCTATGTTCTCTTTTAGTCGCCCTCCGAGATAGAAGAAAGTATTGCCTTGCTACATCTAAATCTCTGTATAAATTGTTATTTTTACTTATTTTCCAAAAGTAATATATACGAAAACACAGTCCTACAATGCAATATATATTTACCAATTAATTAATCAAATAGCTCACTTTTCTTCGTTGAAGCTATTCAAGTAAGTTATTACTAACTTATTTTCTCTTTAACAAACCATTAGCGTATTTTTATGCTCCACAATATCAGACAAGACAAAAAGACAAAACTTGAGCGGCAAAAAAACAGAGAAGAAAACATATTGGAAGAAACCTGTTTTGTTTCCTTAGAAGACAACTTTATTAACAAAAGAGTATTCCTTTTAAGCATAAGGTAATTTTCCTACTTTTATTACGCAACAAGTTTTTTGTAAATTCAACAACGTAAGGACGGCACCATTACCATTTCAAAATTTAGACTTCTCTGTTCTGTTCTGTTGTTGAATTATCAAAGTGTAGCCATTGTTGAAAATATTTAACAACTTTCTCCCTCAACATTCATCAAATGCTTAAACTCCTATTCTCTAACGTCAAGTCAAAATACCTTCATAAACCCCTTCTTTAAACTCCACCACCATCTTTTCACCAAACATTTCAGAAAGAGACTCACCTTCCTCTCCAAGGACACCAATTTAATTCACCACTTTTTCTACTTTGTACCTCACTTTGCTAACTCTCATCACAAAGTTAGTTTGAAAAGGAATCCTACCAACACCTCATTTACCTTGGACTATCCAACTCAACTCACTTCCATTTTTGTCCATTCTCATACCTCAAACAAAGCAAAAACAGAGTCCTCTGTTACACTCTGTTTTCTTTTTTCCCTCTATATATTCTGCCCCTCTTTCTTTCCGTTAACTAACTTTCCAGGTTCATGTCTTCCACAAAGAAAAGTCTTCTCAGAACCGTGTTCACAGCAAACGGAAGCTGTGGTTGCAGCAAATCAAAATCCTCCGAAGTTCATGAACCAACCCCAATACCCAAAACCTCCAACAACACTCACCAAAAACCAAACAACCTCAGCAGCATGGCCTCTTCCACCACTTCAATGGAACACGTAGATGAAGAAGAGTTCACCTCCACCACAGTATCCGAATCCGAGACTTTTCATGATCCCAACAACAACAACGTTGCACTCAAACGAAGCCCTCTTGTGGACAGTGTGGCCATCGAGAAGGACTCTTCCAACCCGTATCATGATTTCAGACACTCCATGCTCCAAATGATCTTTGAGAAAGAGATCGAGTCGGAGGACGATCTTCAAGATCTTCTGCAGTGCTTTCTTCACCTGAATGCACCGTGTCACCACCACGTCATCGTGAAAGCCTTCGACGCCATCTGCGAAGAAGCTTTTCCTCGCAAGGTTGGTACCACTCCGGCTGCGTCCGAACCTTCCCCCTCTCGCCGGAGCCCTCTTCGAAAGAGCAAGTGATCATGGCCATACCAGAGTGAGAAAGATTAAACGTAGATGACGGATTAAAAGTTATTTAATGATTACAAAACACGTTTGGATTCAAAACCAGAACTGTTTCTGAAAGTTACTCTCGTAAACAGAGTTTCCACTTTGTATCCAATAGTTGCTTAAGAAAGTTACATGATTTGTGATTTGATCGCAACCTTTTATGATTTGATTCTTGTCAGTTGTTCATGCTTATGCTATATTGTTTTTATCGGTGGTGTCTGTGGAGGTTGTTTGTGGTTGCACGAGCAGTCGTTCATGGCAATGGAAGCTTACGCTAGATAGGGCACACATGTGTCTATGCCATGTGCAGGCATTGAATTCACACGTGGGATGAAGATGCATGTAAAGATGATGGTTTTAATTTGGCTCCTTCTTCATTCTTTAATAAGTAATGCACGAAATTAGTATGTGGGGTTCAAGTTCGGGACTTGGTTGATGGGCATGAAAAGCTGGAGGAGCTTCAGAATCGCAGGTGGTTGTATTGAAAACAGATATTTTCTTTCTATTAAATCAAATCATATTAATATATATACTTATATTTATAATTTAAGAAATTAAAGCATGGATTCAAAAGTTTCACGTTACAATATATAATGAGAAATAAATATGAATTTATTTTATTAAGGTTTTAGATTAGTTGGGAATGTATTTCTTAGGTCTTTTATTGTTAACAATAAAACTTGATTATTATAGATTATAATTGTGGTAGTTATTATTAAAAATAAATAATAGTTGGTTAGAGTATCTAATCTAATAGGGTAAGAGGATGTGTTTGATGGTTTAAAAAGGGAAGGTGTTAATTATAATTTGGTAGCTGCTGCTACAAATGGCGAAACTTAAGTAACACTGTACCTTTAATTTGATCTTTGGAGGGAAGAAAGCATTATTAGCAGATGGGTTGATTCGATTAGGACAACGTTTCTCATCCAACAAGAACGCTCATCATATTAATTAATTAACCGAAGCTTCCTCTTCTCTTCCATCTAACACTTTTCTCAAACTTGGACTCTCAAATCTCATCAATATCAAATTTTATATTTCATTTGACATCTGGAAAAATTGAACTATTAGTTTTCACACTGTGAGTCTCTAAAAGTACCATGATATATTTCACTAAGAAATAATTTTGTTGGAACGTGTAATATACTAGACATTGTAAAATCTCCTTAAAATTCAGGATAATAACTCTATTTTTTTAGTTATATATATATATATATATATATATATATATAAATTTTAGTTTTCTAAAAATTTTCTTGTGAGTTTACTTTTTTTTATCAACATTGATCATTAGTTTTGATATTACTAATGAGTTTTAGTATAATTAAAAAAATGACATTACAGTTCAAAATTTTTATATAATAAATTTATGAGTTTATTTTATAACATTCTTACTTTTCTTTTTTATATCAAATGTAAGACTTAAAATACTTGAATTTTTATAAGTAAAAAGATAGACATAATGTATTAATGGAAGAAATTATAAGTTTTCAAAGAAAAACTATGAAAATACGAGTTTTTTTTCAGCAAAAAAAAAAAA